GCCAGCCCGCTCAGAGATGTGTATAAGAGACATATATATATATATATATATATGTATATCTATGATTACATTATTATTGCACGAAAAATAATATAATAATTCTAAAATAAAAAATGCGCAACTCGTCAAATCAAAGATTCTGTGCTAAATTGAAATTTCTATTTGTAATTTCAACTCAATTCTTTTCATCTCGTATCGTTGTATTATATTTCTGCAAACTTTTTTCATACTTAAGTTAAAAAAATTTTACATAGCAAATCTGAATGGAATTATATAAAATTATATAATATTATATTAAGATATATTAAGAATTAAAAGTACTTTCTTCAGTATTACTAAATTCTGTTTTTGTCGAATCTACAATCATGTATTACATTAGCTAAATACTTGCCCAAATGGCAAATATTTTCTCAAGATATCTCTACCTTTAAGATCTTTAATTAGTATACAATCTCTTTGATTAAACATTCGTGTTTCTATCGTGATTCATCAATGACGCTATGCAAAAATAATTATTCTCAAAGAAAGAAATCTCTTGAAACAGAAATGATATATTACAGGTATCTGAATGAATTTTTTAATATTTTCTGCTTTATGTTCTCTTAAAATGCACTTTGCACAATTTTTTTGCTTTTTTTTGACGCAACGACTATCGGCGCAGTCACCAGGGATGCCTGAAAGAGTTAGAAAACACACGGCGAACGCACGAGAGAGAGCGATACTTCGAAATCGTGTTATCGCACTAAATTGAATCGCGCTTTGCGATTGCCAGAATACGAAAGTAAAGAAAGTTTACGTTATGAAAAATGATATAAACATACTGAAGGAACATTTATCTATTATCCTATTAATGCTTCCAATCAAATGCTTTACGCAATTTACATTAAACAAGAGAAAAATACATGATTTGTCCCAAAAGTAATGAGATTATTTTTGGTGTCCTAATCAGAATTGTCGCACGGAGAATAGATCCATTGGACTGGGCCAGCTTTAATGCGGGATGTCAGGTATACAGTCTGACTTTTCCCAGTTATCACCAAACCTTTCTAGCAGTTGACTACCTTCAGTAAAGTGCGTTGTAATTTTTGTGTCTTGTCACGATCGAAAATTCAACAGTCTCGAGCGATTAAATTCTGCGTAAAACTGAGAAAATCTGGTTCCGAAACGTTAAAGATGTTGAGAACAGCTTATAAGGATGCTGCTTTGTCTTCAGAATTTGATCGCGTAAAGCTGCTCAAAATACAGCACAGTCTGTGCTGAATTTTCGCCCGTGACAAGACACAAAAATTACAACGTACTTTGCTGACGGTATACTCGACTGCTGGAAAGGCTCAGACGCAACTAAAAAGGATCAGATTGTATACCCAAAGACATCCCAAAGGCCCTGTCCAATGGATCCACTCCCCGACAATTCTGATTGGACCCCTAAAAATATAGTCTCATTACTTTTAGAACAGACCATGTATACATATTGCACTTTTACATTTTCACCCATTACATGACATTGTATGGATTTTTTTTAGCAATGCATAATTAAATTTATCTTACGTAGCAGATTATCCAAAAGAATTTAGTTGCGCTCTGTGATTTAGTCTAAATCATCTTTTTCTATAACTCTTTGATACACGATTTGATATAAGTATCTGATATAAATGCTCAATCCCTGTCAGTTTTATTATATACTAACATATGCGAGTTCTATTATGCGGGTGCGTAAACGTTCACGCTCTTAGCTAAAAAATAAAGTTTTTAATATATAATATTTTAATATTTTCTCCAAAAGTACCGAATAATTTACATTGAAAAATTATACATTATTATCTTAAAAAGATTTATAAACTACTAGATAAAAAATCGCAATATTATACATTCTACATTTTTCTTACAATTTAAAAATGTATGTGATTATATTCTTCAGTACAATATCATAATAAAAAATAACAAGATATGTAAATATATAAAATACAATACATAAAGACAATGTCAAAACAACAAAAAGTCGCATATGTTTCGATTTACTTCAAACTCACAATCAGTATGTATCAGTATGTATCAGTATTAAATGATGGATGAGAGAATAACAATGTTAAATTAAAAATAAAAAGGAAAAAGAATCATTGTTATTTTCAATTCTCACGTTTCTTGAATCCTAGAAACATTATCTTATTTCTCTTTCTCTTCTTTCGTTCTCTCTTTTTCATTTCTTCTCTCCGCTTTCTTCTCTTTCTTTTAGATCAACTTTTCATGCAAAGATATCAACTGCATCATAACGGACGAGTTTTAATAGTAAATAATTTGTAAATAATTTGGACATTCATATATAAAATGCAATGTAAGCAAGAATAGGGATTATTATTATATAACTCGAGTAATTATACTCGAACTTGAACTACATATGTAATTTTAAATTTTCAAAGAAGAAAAAACATATCTCTCTGTTGAAAGATTTCTATTATGAAAAATTCTCCATTATTATTATCAGTAGTCAATTCAGCAAGAGCAAAACGTTTAACTTTTAAAATAATTGAAGAAAAATTTCTTTCTATTTTTCTTATTTTTTAGAATATATTGTTTTTCTTTTTCTTTGTGAATTTCTGACTCTTGAGATCGTAATACTATGGTTTTATTATTCGTATTTCTGTTTCATTTTATCGCTGTGATAATAGAAATATGTTTGATTTAATGATAATGTTTGGTAGTGCAGAAACACTACCAAATGATAACATTTTTTTCCCCTAATTCTAAGCCAAGATGTAATTTAAGAATAGAATATTTCATATTACAAGCGGTATTATACATATACACTGATCCAAAAAATTAGGGGATCACTTTTTCTCAGTAAATTTTTGCCCATTTTTAAACTTTGGTTTCTCAGCGAATAATTGACGTAAAAAATTAAATTAAAAAAGAATTTTACAGGGCAAACTGTCTACTATAAGATGCTCTTGTTCAATTTTTTTACTCACTTTAATACTCAAAGGGATGATTAGCTTTAAATGAAGACGTATTTGATACACATTTAAAATTTCGAAATTTGTGGTCTTCCACTGCCTAACAAAAAAATTGACGAAAATAATCATTAGTACCATCTGAAACTATAGACTTTGCATTTTCAAATGAAAAAAAAATCTTTTTCCTACGCCGATTATTTGACAAGATATTGTAATTTCAAGTAATCTCTGTTTTTTTACGATTTTAGTACGATATATTGTAAAAAAACGAAGATTACTTGAAATTGCAATATCTTGTTAAATAATCGGCGTAGGAAAGTTTTTTATTGCATTTGAAAAGGTAAATTCCTTACTTTGAGATGGTACCAATGATTATTTTCGCCAATTTTTTTGTTAGGCAGTGGAAGACAAATTTCAAGATTTTAGATGTGTCAAATACGTGTTCATTCAAAGCTAATCACGCCTTTGAGTATTAAAGTTAGTAAAAATTGAACAAAGCCATCTTATAGTAGAGAGTATGCCCTGTAAAATCCTTTTTTGATATATTTTTTACGTCAATTATTTGCTGAGTAACCAAAGTTTCAAAATAGGCAAAAATTTATTGAGAAAAAGTGATCCCCTAATGCCCTAATTTTTTGGACCAGTGTAGTGTATTTAAGTATAACCAAAAAACTGATATTTGTATGCTTTATTAGCTGGTGTAAAAAAAAAATCTAACTTTCTTAAAAAACAATCTTTACATCAATTATAAACATACAATTTGGACTTTTGACATATATAATTAAAAAAACATAATAATTAAATAATAAAATAGTAAACATAGTGGGTGAAAAATTAGAAAATTAGAAAAAGTTATTAGTATTTAACATTTATCTGTAAAAGTTTTCAATTTCAAATCGAAGCAACTTAAACTTTTTGCTAGTAGCCTTAACAAATTGTTTTCCAACAGTTTTATTAACTATAGATTACATAACATTAAACTGCATCATTTCAGTACAATGCGAAAGTGATTATAATAATTTTCATAATATTTTGTCGAATTCTCCTCTACTCTCTACTGATATTAAGTAAAAGAGCACACACATGGTCTATATATTAGGATTTAGACTATATATCAAAGATTAAGTGTTTGCTGATATAAATTATAAGAGTTTCGATGCAGGAAATTTCTGAAGTTTGTTCAAATATTCCACAAACCTTACAGGTGCATTCACAAAATCTAGAGTTGCTGGGTCTTAGATATCAATCGACAAAAATTTCGAACTTCAAAAATCCTACACTAACTTTGACGCTAAAGTTCAAGTTTAAAATGTAATTTGTTTCAATCCAAGCTCACCTTTTAAAACATATGAGGTCACTTTTCAACTTGAACTGCGTGCGATATCAACTATCTAACTAAAGGCTTCAATACCACGTTACGTATAACTTAAATTGAAACATTTAAGAAAAAGAAAAAGAGAAATTCAGATTTCCTTACGATTTTGAGTAAGCTGAATCTGTCATGTGGCCAGAGAACACTTATCACTATAGATTTAGTGATAAATCATGCGTCAAATTAATTGACTCAAATGTTTTACTTATTATTCATTTTAATATCTCAATGATATACTAAAAAAGAAAGAAATTTTATCGAAAGAATGTAACATAATAATAATAATAATAATATAAATTTACTTGATATTGAAAATTAAAGAGTTCTAGAAATCTACTAAAATTAAAGGGAAATTAGAGAGTCTCTACTTAATTAAGTTTTATAAATATAAAAAAAATAATACTTTTATTCAAATAAACTTGTATCAATAGATTCTATTTGAAAGTTTAATGGCAAATTATTTAATATTATATCTTCAAATATGAAGAATATATTATTAATAATAAATATGTTTAAGAATTATGGTTTTTTTTTTAAATCTAATGTACTTCTTTCAGAAAAACACAAATCATATATTTTTCATATCACACACTAAGGAATAAACTCCGTTAAAATAGTATATACAACAAATTGTGATATTTGATATTAATAGCAAATGTGTTAATATAATAATATCAAATATCCAAAAATTTTAAGAAAGGTTAAATCCAATCAAACACTCACCAATTTTGTCTCAAAATAATCTTAAATAATGCTGTATTATTGTAACATGATTTTTTAAAGAACATTATACAATTTTACTTATCAATTTCAATAAACTATCGAAAAAAAGAGATTTCATGTCTGAGATAAACGCGACGAAGAGCTGAATATGACAACACGAAATGGCGACATATTATAATAAAGCTGTACAACGTCCGCGTACGCGCAGAACTGTATAATATAAGCTTCTCCCGCGTGAGTTTGCATTTCAGTAATTTCAGTGATCACGAGGAGGCGAAACGGTCATTGTACAGCATCATGAATGCACACAATTTGCTGCATTCGGGATTTAAACATTACATCCCCATAATGTTGTAGAGGATGCATTATCTTCCGGTATGATAACACCTCGCAAATTGGCAATCGGCAAAACAGCAAAATAAATCACGCGAACGTGATTCGTGAGCAATTGATAATGTGAATATATGTTGATATCTGGTTATTACTCGCTACCCAAATATTCGTCACACTTTATCATGATAACAGTAGCACACCCGCGATGATTGATTACGATGTTACGAGTGAATTCCATGTACCTAACTAGGAAACATTATTAACACATTGTCGTTTACGTCAAGACAATTGTTTTCATTTGTTTTTCACTTACGCCACGTTATATTCACTCATCGCCCTAGTTTTGCCCTATACATGTATATTCTTCTATTTTTTCGTTTTTCCGTTTTGTTTCCTTAACTATATTCATCATAAAATTATACGTTATTATATATTATATACGCTATATGTATATGCAAGCGGCTCAGAGTTCAATTTAAGATCTTTTCAGCTAGTAATTGCTCGGTTTTATAAACTCTGTTTCTTTAGTTTTACTTAAAAAAAATAGCAGCACAAACTTAGTGCAATCACACCGCACCGATTCGAGCATGTATGACGCAAAGATAATAACGTTGAAAGTATTGCGTGTAATTTATCAATACACCAAGTAATTAAAATTTGTGTGTGTGTGTGTGTGTGTGTGTGTATGTGTGTGTGTGTGTGTGTGTGTGTGTGTGTGTGTGTGTGTGTGTGTGTGTGTGTGTGTGTGTGTGTACAATACTTTTTGACTTCTCTCATAGATTATAAAGATGAATAATGCCTCACCATAAAATTATCAAATTGCATAATATAATAATAGTTTATTTAAAAAAACCTGGTTATCTTTCGGGACATTCTTATTAGCTGTAAAATTGAACGTGATGACAGAAATAACTACCTACCTGCGTAAAAAAGTAGTAGTAGACTTTCATACCACGATCTGCAAATAATTGTGCAAAATGTGTAGATGGGCAGATGAAGAAATAATCGCCCACGATGTCTGCTATCGCCCTCTGATTCTGATAACCATCGTTCACTCGATCCCAATCGGTATACTGAAACAGAAATTCATATAAATTTCCAATTAAAAATTATCAATTAATGTCCAAAAGTTTTATTTTAATTACAACATATTATATCTGTGTTCAACTCGACATTTTTATAACTTGGAAAAAAGAATATTATATTTCTAAAATTTTTCAAATAGATTGTATAAAAAAATTATTATTCTTTTACCTAGAAAGAAATAGCCTCAATACTAGTTTTGAAATAATATTGACAAAAATTATGACATATAAAACATCTTTCTACTTCTTGTTAATAATGATTATATAAATCCAAGTGTTGTTTTATAAAAATTCGTTTTTAAAAATATTAACCGTTTCATGTAGTATGAAATCTATTAAAGCATTACCCAGCATTTACATCTTGATTCATATTGTATATTGCCTTAGTGATTTAATGCCACGCCAAGATTGATCATTAAGAAAAAGAATTGAAAGGTGCTTGAAAATTAAAGCATCTTCTCCAATTAAATAAATTTGTTTAATATATCTGTTAAAGCACAACACTAAAATAAGATAAAGTATTAATAAATGAATAAATTATTTGCCTCTGCGCACGAGTTTGACTCATCTATAGTCAGGCTTAGTCTACCTTATCTTCTATTAATCGTTTGAAAAGAAAATAATTTTTCAACCAAATACAATGCTTATAGCTCACGGGTTAAAAGAGATTACTAGGACAGGGCATCGATGGTGGTTACATCGGATCACTTTGTATCGTCAATTTTTTTCCAATCGAAACGGTAGTGAAGTACGCGCTTTTACGAATTCATTTCGTTCGATCACTCGCGCGTGGGCGGTATCAGCAGGCGGCATGAATTTATCAAAGACATGAGTTCCCGGCGACCTTTACGCGCCTGTATATATCATCGTAAACGAAAGGCTGCATCCTCGCTCTGGCGTGCCTTGTTCCCGGAAACTTAATGAAATGTACACGGAACTCGAGGTTTCACGCAGCCATGAAACAGCCCTTGACAAAGCAACTTTGACGTGCCGTTCTGCTGATCGGAAAGTAATTAGCGGTCAGCTAGCAGAATAAAGCTCTTTGAAGAGTGACATTACCTCAGTACATAACGATATCGATTTTCCTCGTAACAGTCGTAACTATAGCTGGTATAGCCCGTTACGCGATAGAAAACCTGTTACAATACGTATTCATATTCATATTACAAAGTATTCCCTTTGAAGAGATGCTCTTTATAAAATTTTACGCAAAAGCACAATATTGTCTCATCCTTCTTTTTAAAGGAAAAAATGGGCATAATATTAATAATTGTATTATATGTATATAAATATTCTATGTCACATGTACATACACACAATTCTCTCTCTCTCTCTCTCTCTCT